AACTTTTGTTCCTTATATAATTCTCTACAACTTTGCTTTAGGTTGCTCAGACATGCAAACATCCTAAGCTACACTTTTTAGACAGTCAAACACAGGAGCTCTAGGGGTCCAAATTGGTCAAACCATGACTTGGAAACCTAATTAGGCAAAATGATCAACATGAACCTTGTTCCTAATGACATTCTAAGTATAACTAAGTTGTTTAAGAGAATTATTAGTCACACCACACATTGGTCACACAAGAATCAAGCAAGGTATGTACTGAAACAATGCAAAACACATGAATTGTTACAATGGTTTCATAGTCATGTTTCACATGTTTCATGATCTTGTTGCATAATATTAACTAACCTTGTTTCACTAAGTGAGTGGCACATGTTGCACTTAAGTGTTGCACACTTTACATTTCATAAAAGAAACAACACACATGAAATATACAACATGTTGCAATGTTTCGAAATCATGTTTCATGTGATATAAGTTCACGCATGGATGCATGATGCTCATGTTCATGAAATGTAGTGCAAATGTGGAAGCCAAACACCTAGGGTGTTACATGCACTTCCTATGCTTTGACGGTGGCATCGTCACTTTCAGCATCGGTGACGAGAACTTTGGTTCGCTGCTTCCGCCCCCAGGTTTTGGCAATGTGGCCGCGGCCACGTCCGTGCTGACGGAGCTGGACGGGCGTTTGTGTGTGTGCTATGGGGAGCCGGACAGTGATGATCCTTTGGTTCTATGTGTTCATAACAACAAGGAAACCTGGTGGGAGAAGCTTTGCTGTATTGATTGGACGGCTTGGCCGGAATCGGAGCGCATGCTTCTCAAGTCACTCTGGATTGCCCCAATAGGTGTATATTACTCGGCTCATGGGGATCTGAAGATCATGTTTGGGACAGGCTCTTGCAAGGTGTTTGTAGTGGACTCCAATGGCGGCGGCGGCGATCCAGAGATTCTATTGAAGCCAGAGGATACCATCATTTGGGAGCTGCGAGGATGACTATTTTGAAGCGATTGGTGTATATGAGGAGAGTCTCGTGCCCTCGGGCCGCACAATTGAGGACATGATCTTCTCTCGCCATCGCCAACACCTTGACTTGGTTCAACATCCTCAAGTGGTGTCGGCACGCACGCTCCTTTCGGAGCTGAGAATGGTCTACAAGGAGTGGCGTGGAATGATCATGAGTGATTGTTTCATCCGGTCGCATGTCATCCACGCATAAACCGCTTGAAGAGGAGCCCACATATCATGTTCATCATCGACCCTACCTTTGGTCACTATGTGCATTCGGAGGAATGCATTCGTGATCCAAGATTACTAATGCCATTTCCGCTAGAGTTTGTTGTGTGTTCCCAGCCTTGCCACGGCCTTAATGTGGGAATTGGTCTCATGCAAATTATTTCATATGCAATCCTATCATGAGGTACTTTTTCCGCATAACATTTGATGATGGCGACGAGACGTTCTTCGCTGGTCGTATTGGGTTGGGTTGCAACACAAAGATTGACGAGCATGTCTTGGTGCATATCAACTACAAAGAGAAGAACCTAGAAACGAGATCTTATGAGTTGAATCGCCCTAAGAAGAATGTGAATGGCGAGGAGTGGTATCCAATAGACCCTCCTCCTAGACCAAGTAGCTCCCGTGACAAATCGACCTTCGTCGGTGGCAAGATCTCTTGGATAGTAGAGACTAATCTTGGACCGGTTTCGCAAGATGTGAAATCGCTATGCTCGATGTCAAGATAGAGTAATTTGAAGTCCTGCAAGGTCCACCATGCGCCCATGGCGTTGGACATATGACCATCCTCGAGCTCTATGGTACACTTTGTATTTCATATTCAGCCGGAGCAGAACACGGTTGATCTATGGATGATGAAAGATGTGGTATCTGGTTTATGGAGTATCATATAGTGCTTGACGAGTTATCAAAGAAGGCTACACCATTGGTCGTTGACCCAACGGATGGATGATTTTGCTCAACACAGGTTTGTCATTGGGCTACTATGACCCCAAGACAAGCAGCGTTTGAGACCCTCATCATCGAGACCGCATCCCAGATTGCCCCGACGACTATGAGATCTATCCTATTGTGCGCCATGAAAGTTTAGTTTGCCCGCCATGATTACTAGGTGCCGTCCTACTTTCTCGTGTTCTTAGGCTCTTAGCTAGGATGCCCATTGATGGTTTGCCTTTGTTTGATGTAATCATTTCCACAAGAAGTTAAAGCATGTGACGCCAATACATTGATGATTATGATTATGTAGCCTTGGCTGTAGTTAATTTCCTAGCATCTGTGTTGCATCTTCTTGTCTGAATAAATCATAAAAAAAACTCAGCTCTTACGTGTTCATGAATAGCCTTGGCTGTAGTTAATTTCCTAGCATCTATGTTGCATCTTCTTGTCTTAATAAATCATAAAAAACTCAGCTCTTCCGTGTTCACAGAATAGTGCCAAGATAGTTTTATACCTGTTTTTCTATGAAACCCATCTTACTTTGCATTGCAAATTTGCACAGCAGGAAGGAATGACCATTATTTTGGTTCTATGTTGTTTGAAATGATCATGTAAAACTCAGCTCTTTTGCATTCATAGATTAGTGTCAAGTCAGATATGGATCTATTTTAATTTGTCAAACCTATCTTTATCCACTTTCAAATTTGCACAAAGATGAAGGATGGTTAATATTCTGGTTGTATGAGCTCTAGCATTTTGGTAACTTTGGAAAATAATTACTTAAGGTTTGCATTTTTTTTGTTTGACTATCTTCGATGGATGTCCTCCTCGCTGGACACGGTGCATATTCATCTCGAATTAGACCTGGTCATACATGGTCTCCTTTTTGTCGTCAATTGATGAATCTCCTCGTTGATTATTATTTACCAGAATTAATTATACATATCTCAGTTTAACCATCAAAAGATGAATATCCTCACTGGTTCTTATATCACCAAAATTACACGTCTCGCTTATAGCAGAGCCTGAGATGTATGTTCTTACCGGTCCTATTTTTTTCATGTTTGTTCGAATTGCATGAGAGCTCAAAATTTAGTTTCTCTAAAGATAGCTGCACAAGATATTATTATATTGTTCAAACTTGTTGTAATTGAATGGTGCCTTCAATTTTATATACATAATAAAGTACACAAAAATAGAATATATCAAAGTTGAATTCAAGTTATAAGATCAGTGGCAAATGATTTTTATTATAATTGTTACTTTGCATTCCAATTTTGTAAGAGATCAAGAAACGGTTAAGTAACAATCAACATGTTATTAAAGTGACAATCAGCAAGTAAATAACCCTTGAGTCATGACATGTTTTGAAAGTTGGCAGTTGGCCAGTTGCCGAACATGGCAGGCCAGAACCTACACATCAATAGCCAACAAAAATGGTCTAGTAACAGTACTTGGTGGAGTAGTCCTTTGGAGCAATCATCAGACCACAGCCCTTCCGGGCACCCCTATACCCAGTGTCTACAATGTCAATAAACTCATGCTTGTCCTTCAAGGTCCAATTGATCTTATTGTTGTTTCCTGTCCCAAGATCAATCATGATGCGCTTGTTTCAGAAGAAGAACATCATCTACTTGTCAACACGAAAGCACTAGCAATAGTGTTCTTGTATTTGAATCGGCTATAGTTAGAAGTAGTGCACCCCCAAGATCCCAGAACATCATCTACTTGTCAACACTATGCCAAAACACCAATAGCTAGTCAAACTTTACAACTCTGACTAAGCAAAATCACTGCAATTTACACTTTTAATTAGCACCAATAAGCAGCTTAGATGAACAATATATTAAACCTGCATAGTCATCAACTCACCGTACCTCTACAAATTCGTGACCGCACAGGTTCAACATCCACACGCCATGTCCTTGTCCAATTGACAAGTAGTTCCAAAAGACAAAGGAAAAAAATTCACAAAGGCACATGGTCTTAGGACCAATAATTATACATTTAAAATTTTCAAGGACTTAAAATTTAAAGGTGAAGTGGAATATAACTTTTTATCTAAAAACCAACAATGCAGAATGCATTATTTATTCATAGTAAGAAAATCTTGCAGAGATAAACTAAATCTTTCCCATTCTATTCCCATATAGGACTAACAAACTATCCTCTAAAAAAATAGCTGAAGATGACAACAATTTAAATTTCAACAATACAAACATTTTTTTTATAAGCTAAAGTAGTACTGCTCCCTGGGATCCCCAATCCTGTACCATACCCAATACGAATCACAACATAAATGAACCCAACCGAGCTTGCTTTATACCGACAAATGTTCACGTTTAATTTACTGGAGCTAAATTAGCAAAGTCAATACACTTCACCTTCCTGCTTGACTCGGTGCTCCTAAACCCCGTCCTGCCATACATATGGCCATCATCTCCACAACAGACCCTAAACCCCAATTTCACGAAGTCCTCACCGGGACTATCAACCCCCAAGCTCATGACTGCGTCCCAAATAACAAAACAAGAGACATACACAGACATGAATAACTACTAAATGCAAGCAAATTTCACCAACAGGCCTCACTAGTAGAAAGCTAAGCTTAGGCGGTCGAGGAGCCAGTTACCTGCATGCATGTCTCGTCCCGGTCAATACACTTCATGGGAGAGAGAGATCGGTTCTTTGAATATGAAAGCTAGCGAAGAGATGAACCGACTCTTTTTTTTAGGGAGGAGATGAACCGACTCTAATTGAATGAGTTCTGCCGTTCTGGAGTCGGACTCATGCTGGGCCCGGTTCCTTTAATTTTCTACCCAATACAAACACTGGGCTAGGCTCTCTCCATCACTCTATGGCTTGGCCCATGAAGTGTGCTCTCAATGCACAATGTGTGAGGGGTTAACCAACGTGGGATGAAAGTAGAGCATGTATATGTTGCTATGGTTTGTTTGTGTGTGGTACTGTACGCACACTCTAAAGAGACTTACACAATTTCATCCCCTAGGAGCACATCCAGCCGGCCACTCCTCTGAAGAGCATGGCGTCGCCATTTCCGATTCCGCCGGGTACTCTTGTGATCAAAGTAGAAGATGAAAGGGAGAGTGATGTACCCGGGCATATCACCACCGACCAAGAGCTGAGGGACATGTTCACCAAGGACGTCCAGCGCCGGTTCGAGCTCATCAGGAGGAGGAGGAGCCTGCAACCCTCTGGCAGTGCTCAGTTGCAGCCTCCCCAGCCCCACCGGTGAGGCACAATCCTTCACTTACAGGATGTGAGTTTGAATATTGAAGTGTTGTTTTTTTTTTTTTGAAAAATGTAGTTCAGATTTCAACGGTTTTTTTTCCTCGAACACACAGGAGAGCTGTGTATCATTATATTAAGAAGAATAAAGGAGTGGGTTTAAAAACCCCATACAGCCACACACCTACACACACCCTTTTACATCTAATATTGTACCTCTCTCTCTCAAATTCAAACTTGACCTAAGACCACTGGAGAGGAACTCACACATTGGCTGGCTCTAGAGCAAGGAGTTTTGTTTTATGTTTGTGCTTATGTATGTGGTTTGTGCATGTCTAATCATAGCAGTAATTTCAGCTAGAGAAAGAGTGTCGAGTAGCATTTTTCAGTTAAGTTATGATTGCTAGAGAAAACGAAAACACTGGTTCTAGGACTGCATGCATTTCTTTCTAATCTTCAACTTTAAGTTTTTGTTTTGATATAATCTCTCGGTGACATAAGGACCCAATCGATTGACACTTGCAACAAAAAACATACTGCAAGGCTTGTCAGTTCTAAATCCAAATATATTTTTGAAGGTAGTGATAGCCTTGAAAGCCTACCATTCAAGATACAATACATGTACTCTTCAGTTGCCTTGTGATGGTGTCTTTCCTCAAATGGTAGTTCATAATGAAGCGCTAGAATTGTCACCTGTAGCTGCATTTTTCAGTTAAACAAACGTGGTGTAGAAAGATGATACTGCAATTAATTTAAAGAATAGTTTATTGGTGGATAACACAAAGTTTGTCTTAGGTTGTCTCCAACATGAGACTCATTGCGGAACCCAAACCCAAAAAGGGTCTCCAGCACAATACATATAGTCTCCAACAGAGTAACTATATGGAAGACCCATTTTAGGTGCAAGGAGAGGCATAACCCAAATCTGAATATCCTCTTTTCTGGAGACCCATTTGCAGAAATGGTTGTCTTTTGGGTCTTGTTGTTGGAGAAGACAAAAAATAAGTATTGAACTCTTTGTCTATAGCGCTACCAAAAAGAGAAATGAGTCATGTATTTTGGGTCGCGGTTGTTGGAGAGAGTCTTAGAATCAAACATGGCTGAAATGGGCCTATGGCCCCGTTCGCTGGAGAAATGGGTTTATGGCCCCATTCGCTGGTCTAAAACTTGGCTGAAATTGACTAAAAAACACTGTTCCGGCTGAATTGTTGTGAGAGAAAAACACTGTTCCGACTGAAAAAAAAAATCGAACTAGCCGAATATGAGGTAAGTCGAACAGGGCCTAAGGGTCCTTTGTTTTTTCTTTAACTGGCACACTTACTCCTTCTGACGTTCTTTCTTCATTTGAAGAGGAAAGGACCTCTAACTGTAGGATTGTAATGTGGAAGGTTCTGTACATGGATTTTAAAAAGTATGTCAGTACATTGTCACATTTTACACTTCTGAAAAACTAATAGGACTATACATGATGTTCAGCAACCGCATAGTTAGATCCATCCATTCCAAGTTTGATGCCTGCATTCACTTCGTCTTTGTTACAAATTGCAATTGCATTGTCGCGTACGGTGGATTCTGTCTATGACCTGTTGTGTGACTTGTGTATTTCCTCACTTCTTCTCAGGTACAGCAATCACCCCTGCCCCCACCGCCACCACCACCACCTCCACCGGCGCCGCACCCATGCGCAAAGAGGCTGGCAATCGGACCGCCTCCGGGGTTCGCGGGTGTTCGCACGCCACCGCAGAAGCAGTACCAACGCCGGCCACCAGGGCCGAAGGCGCCGGCGCAGCCACCACACCAACCGGCGCCGCCGAACGCCCACCGCGCCCTGGCCCCACCAGCGCTGAACGCACAAAGGGCGGGGCATGCTTCGCAGCCGCCGGCGGCAGGTGCACACGGCGCCGCCACGGCCGCGCCGCCAGTGCACGCCGGCCCCACCAGCGCCGTGGTGCCCGCGCTCCAGCGAAGGACGGCGCCCAAGCCACCTCACCCAGCGGCGAAGAAGAAGCCCACCGTGCCGTGCGCCTTCTGCGGCGTGCTGTGCATGACGGCGTGGCACCTGAAGCAGCACGAGCAGGGGCGGAAGCACCGCAACAGGGTGGCCTTGCTCGCCGGGGAGATGAACGTGCGGTGCAAGGTGTGCGACGTGCACCTCTCCAGCGGGCTCAACGTCGAGCAGCACAACGCCGGGAAGGAGCACCTCCTGCGACTCAAACTCAACAGAGGAGCCTGAAACGCACGGTTGCCCCTTTTACTTTAGTGGCGGCACGCATGCTTATGACTTGCACTATCTGCTGAAACTACATATATGACTTAAAACAATATATGTGATGATACTATATGTTTAGTTCGCTTGAACTTATCAGCCGGTTTATCAGCTAGAATCTACAGTATTTTTTCTCTTATAATAAAACAGCTTCAGCCGGCTTTAATACCAGCCGAACATGCCCGTTTGGACACTGTTTATATATTTTCGTTAGCATCTGCTACTGGAACTATCATTTGGATTGTGTACTCTGTAATGGATTCTCAGATTTGTTGATGTGTTTGACTCTGCTATGTCCGGCTCCTTATTATTTATGTGTGCTCTCTTCGATGCAGTGGTTATTAGGATTGTTTTATGTGTCCTATTCCATTATCTGTCCTTTGAAACCATGTATCGTGAAGCTTAATTATTTTGTTTCCTGAGGTCTCTGAAAGTCTTAGGTGATGCGTATGCGTATCCATCTTTTCATTGCATTGCTCCAACGACAGTACGTAACGTGTGGTTGGCAAAAGTGAGCATAGCACGTAGCAGTGAAAACTGACATCATCTTCCTCTAGTCTAGTTCTCCAGTTTGCATCGCCCTAATCCAGCTTCCTGACTCCTGAGATACAGCTAATTAAGCCGAACACAAGTTTTTGTTATATGCCAAAGCAACAGGTGTGCCCGGGCCATGCCTCTAGTCAATTGTCGTTACTCGTTAGACAACCAATCGTAGCTACCTCTGAACGCGTCGAACAAACTGTGGGTACGGTGTGGGTGCATTGCAGGTAGATGCAACTCCTTTTGTTTCCTTTTTCAGTCAGCAAACACATGGATTCTTCATTCTTCTGGCTTACGGCAGGGCAGCTGGGCTTTGGCATTGGCAACGTCGGACACGTACGGTTGGTTAGTTACTTTTCAGTTTCACTTTGTGGTTTGTAATACATGATGATCTCGTCAGGGTCAAAGGTGGCTGCAGTTTGGTTTGGAAGGCAGCGCACCTACTAGAACAAACACAGCAGCAATGCGATGGATCACCTATCCATTATGTACGAGGAACAAATCCGGATAAAATCTTGTCAAGACTGCTTACACATACCGGAAGCAACCACGATTCCACTGTGTCCAATCACAGCGAGCAAGCTGAAGCAGCTCCACACGCCATCATATATTTGTGGATGCCGACTGCTGCATGTGCATAACTATAGTTAACTACTATAACCTACGTAACTGCAAGCGTCTTCCGGCCTTTGAGACGGCAGTACTTGAGTTTCCACGATCTAGCTCAGCGACCCCCGCGACCCGTGCGTCACCTGCATGCGGGCTGCGGCCTTTTGCCGGGACGCGTGGGAAAAAAAAGGTAAAAGCTAGCGGAAACCACGGGCGGTTCGGCGCGGCCTCCTAGAGGTCGCACGCTAACTGTTCGTGACGCCGACACGACGCGAGATGGCGAGGAGCCGCGGAGGCGGAGGCGCCATGCAGTGGCTGGGCAAGGGGGCAGTGGTTGCGTTTGGTCACCACTCGGCACTTGCCAGTCGATCTTCACCACCGGCCGGCATGGGCATGGCACCGATCAGGGCAGGACGCGCGAGCGGGCGAGACACGGGCGCTCGGCTCGGCCACCAACCAGTCATCCTCCTCCTCCCCCGTCCGGCCGTCCCTGACAGGGCCGTCAGGCGCGCGATTTTTCTAACAACTGCCGCCGCGAGTCCGATCGAGTTGGCTGTGCGCCTGCGCACGGTACGCCCCACCGGTTGGATGGCGTGTCCGATCCGTCGCGGGCGACAGCGGCAGTCCGGGACGGGTGATCCGGATGCTCTGCATTAACGGCGATCGATCAATATTTGTAGACAAGCAATGTTTCATCATCAGTCAGTGAAATAAAGCCTGGTCTACAGTTTTCTCCCGCAGCGATAAATCGTCGGCCACCGTAGCTACAGGAAATAAGGAGGACGTTCCACCAGACACACTGCGTCATCGACATCCGTCGCAGCAGTAGCATGCAGATTAAAGAAAACCGTGTAATGGAATCAACAGGCAAGAGCACTGCCACGTCATTAAGAGGATGGGTACGGTGTTGAGGGCCGGATTATTTTTAAAACAGAAATGCTATACAACACACATGTGTTTTATTTTTTCGTTGGCACACGAATTTTGTGTCCGTTGGACGGGCATCGTGTGCTTGTGCTTGCCACCGCCGTTTGTTTCTCTATGTTGTGGGTCCCGATTATCAGTGCTACTGTTTAATTTCTTTTGGACTCCGCGCCTGATTTTGTGTCGTCCGTTTCCCCATTTTCCCATTCACGCTCGACACCCGCTATGAGGCCACGCGCGCCCGCGTGGAGGGCGTCCGATTCGCGCAGGTGGGCGTGACCCTGGCCAGCCCCGATGGCGGCCTGGCGTTGGTCCGTGTGTGGTGGTTCCACCTGGGCGACCGACTGGACTCGGAGGACGCGCGCTTCCTCACGGTCGTCGGCGTGGATCCCCCGCGCGGCGCGCCGACCCTAGCCGCCTGTGCAGGGCGCTCAGGGCATGGCGCCGCTCCCCGGCACGGCGAGCTGCGGTTTCTAGGGTTTCGCGAGCTAAGTTCTTCCTGCCCCCTTCTTTGCGATATGTTCCATCGATGCTTGGGTTTGTTTGTTGCCTTATTCAATGTGTGTGTTGATATTTAATGCCTTTGTCCTCGTTTCAGATCTGCTTTGTGTGTCCGCTCGTATGCGATTTTTGTGTTGTGTTGTTCGTTGTCTAGTGTTTTCCCCTTAGGTGATGCGGGATCCGAGTTCCCGTGTTCTTTAGTTTGTGCTTAGTTTTTTTGCCCCATTTTTTGATTCGTTGGCGGATGGTGTTATCTCTGCAGGGTAGTCTGTATAGCTTTTAGGAGTTGACGATTGTTTGTTGGTTCATTGTCCTATGATTGTTGTTCACATGATTTGTGGTTTGAATGGTTCAAGAGATTCGAATGGTTTGATTGATGCATAGGTAGATGATACGCTATTGTTGTTGATTGTATCTTTGTTTTTTTTCGATGCAGATTGATATTTATAATTGTTTTTGATAGTGGAAATGTGGTGTTGATTTTTAAGGCAGTTTAATTTGTGAGAAGAGCTCGGTTCTACAAAATTAATTATGAGTTTGTGTCCCGCTATAATGCTCATTGCAGAATAATTTTTGTAGTAGACATTTTTTAGCTGCATGTTGTTTTTCAATGATGATAATTGCCTCTTATCCCTTTATGTGATTTTAGTTTCATTGTCCATTTTCAACTAATTTTTCAGTGCTCATTTATTTTCCGCTTGTGCTGCTATAGTTTCTCCTTCTCCATTTCCTCACTGGTCATTTTGTGCTTCATCTGTTTGCTGGGCAGATAACATTCTATCTAAATTGATTCCCACTTTGTCAAATTATGTCATAAGATATTCCATGACTTCCTCATTTTTTGATCCTTTTGAATTCAGTATTATTGACTTCCCAGATAATATGTTTGAATCTCAATAATGAGTTTGTTGTAACTGTTTCTTCTTCTTGTCTTTCAACATGTACCTTCATATCCTTTTTTTCTCCACCGGTCTAAGAAGTATTTGTCTGGAATTGTGTTGACTTTCTTTTCAATGACTATTTTTAGGATATGAGAGCACAATATCCTATTTTTGCTGAATTTTGCAGATATGCAAGTAAATTCTTCTTCGCTTTTTGTTAGGTCTGTGTTTACTGTATATCTCCTGAACCTATGAACCTCCTGAATCTGGTTACTTTTTTTGCCACATCTGAAATGTTTTTCCATCTTGGGTTTCCCTGTAGTTCAGCCTTGATGTTGCCTTCAGTTGTAGTTGGAACTTTTTCAATATATTTCTATTGTATAGCTGTTGTGTTTGCTGCTCTATTTTGTAGCCGAATATAAATTACTTTGGCCTTTTCTGCTTGCTATAGCTGTTCTCTAGCCTTTCTACTCGATTTATGGTATCAACAATCCGATTGTACTCTTTCAGAAAGCTAATGATACTATAGGTTGGCCCTATATTGTCTTTGAACCTTGCATTTGTTGCCTCACTTCTGGATACGGTCTGTATGAAAGGAAAGAAGTCATTTTTGTAGTAGACCGGGATAAACCTTTTTCTTATTTCCCACATTTTGGAAAAGTAGTGATTCCCTTGAAGGTTTCTTTCCTCAATCATTCTCTTCCAAAGTCGCTCAAATTCTTCCACTGTTAGACTATTGTTCACTATATCTTCGAAGTCTTCATATAGTCCTTCGTTTGCTGCAAACACCTTAACATTTTTATTGTAGCATTTGGTCTTTATGTGGAACAGGCAATTTCTATGCTTTGTGTTTATGAAGACTTGCTCTATTGCTGATTTCATCACCATCTCTTGGTCTATGATGATCGTTTGAGGGTGTTTTTCTTCTATTGCTTCAAGGAAGGTTTGAAATACCCACTTAAAAGTGTCCACTATCTCATCATGCAGGAAAGCACATCCGAAAAGGCAACTTTGCCCATGTCCTATGATTTCAACAAATGGTGCAAAAGGTAAGTTGTATCGGTTGGTCATATATGTCGTGTCAAAACTTACACATTCTCCATAATCTGTATAATATTTCATAGAAGAACAGTCTATCCAGAACAAGTTTCTCACTCTCTTGTCCTCATCTAAATCAAACATGCTCATTATCATCTGTTATAGCTTATGTAATATCTGAACTTGTTGGTTCTGTTGCTATGATCCTCAAGTCATTTTCTTTCATTGTTGGTTGATCATCTTGATTTTTATGCTGCACCTATAAATATATTAGCAGCAGTCTTAGTTTCTGAGTAATGTCATTTATAATACAAATAATTTTTTTTCCAGTGTGGACTAAAATAGTCAAAGAGATCATTTTTTATGTACCTCATCAATGTCCATGTTATTAAATACATCAGTTTGCCAATGGTATTGTTGAATTTCAGATCTATCATCATTAGCTATGCTTGTCGTTGCTCCATCATCATCAGC